TGAAAATCTTGATTCATATTTTATACCTAAATATGCAATTGTTAAAGTTAAATTAAGATAAATTAACTTATCTGATTTTAATTGAATATGTTTTTTTTTTTTTAAATGTGTTAAAACGGATAACATCAAAAGTTTTAAGAAACACAAACTCAACTTTTTTAAGTTTAAAAAACATTCTTGATGAAAAAGCTTTTACTGGTAATTTTAATTGACATTAACTTAGTTCAATAGGTTACAGAAACATTCCTGATTGATCACTTTTTACATTTGTTTTCACAGCACAAATATAAAGTACAAAATTAAGTCACTTAAATTTACTAAACTACTTGATCAAGATAGTTTTTTTAACTCATGAATTAAGTTACTTAAATCTTTTAATATAATCAGTTTCAACGATTGTTTGAGTTAAATTAACTTATCTGGTTTTAACTGTATTAACATATAAATGAACTGTTTATTAATAAATCATTATAATATAATAATATGAATAAATCAATATAATAAATCAATATAAACACAATATAATATAATAATATTAATAAATCAATATAATAATATTAATATTAATAAATCAATATATACTCATATGAAGGAATTAAAAACAATCAAAATGTTTATTTTTGTTCTGCTTTAAAATCAGTAAACGTTCACTTTCAGTGTCAGCTTGTGTACAGAAAAAACACACACACACACACACACACACACACACACACACACACACTATATCCAACACACCAGAGACCATCACAGGTTTTATTTAGAGCTCTGTACAGGACGAGTGGATTTACAGTTGTTTGTTTTAAGTTAAGTGTAGCGTGTGTTCACTGAATAAAGACTGAATATGGTTATTGATTGTTTATTGATTGATCGTCTCCTACATGCAAACAAATAATCCCAAAGTGTGGAGAAGAACGAGAGTCCAGGTGGGATCTGAAAAGACAAAGACCTACATTAATCATCTATTATTGTCTTTTATTAATTAGAATCAAATGTTGAGATATCAGCCTACTACATATGTTTTTACATTTTCAAGCACGCCTTAAAATCAAGAAGGCCTTGCAACCCCATATGAAGCTGTGGCGCCCCCTAGTGGAGGCCCCGAGCCCCAGGTTGGGAACCACTGATACAGAGACTGAAGCCTTTATTTGTGGTAAAACATACCCGACTGTTTCCATCCACTGTTCGGTGCTGAGGTGACCGAATCTAAAGAAACAAACACATCCAAGTTACCTCTCAGTGTCTCACTCACCTGTCTCACTCACCCTGTCTCACCCACCCTGTCTCACTCACCTGACATCCTGGCCAGCTCAACGCTGGAGTCGGAGAACTCGTGCCGTTTGCTCACAGAACAAACGTGAGCCCCGTAGTCGTCCATCTTCACGCGCTGGATGGTCAGGGTGATGGCGCCGGGGCTGTAGGCGATGGCATAGCCCTCGCTGCAGTTCTGGAAAGCTTTATGTTTGATGTAGTGACACAGCAGCTCATTGTTCGGGCTCCTCCACTGGACGGACAGCTGGGACACGTGTGTGTCGTCCTCATAGTGGTACGAACACGGCAAAGAGACCCGCTGACCAGGTTGACAGAGAACTTTCACAACACTGCCTGGAGACAGAAGAGCTCGCCGTTAGAGACAGTTAGAGACAGTTAGAGACCGTTAGAGACAGTTGGAGTCAGTTAGGGACCGTTGGAGACAGTTGGAGACAGTTAGAGACAGTTGGAGTCAGTTAGAGACCGTTAGAGACAGTTAGAGACAGTTAGGGACCGTTGGAGACAGTTAGAGACAGTTAGAGACAGTTGGAGACAGTTAGAGACCGTTAGAGACAGTTAGAGACAGTTAGAGACTGTAAGAGACAGTTAGAGACAGTTAGAGACAGTTAGAGACCGTTAGAGACAGTTGGAGTCAGTTAGGGACTGTTGGAGACAGTTGGAGACAGTTAGAGACAGTTGGAGACAGTTAGAGACTGTAAGAGACTGTTAGAGACAGTTAGAGACAGTTAGAGACTGTTAGAGACAGTTAGAGACAGTTAGAGACAGTTAGAGACAGTTAGGGACAGTTAGAGACCGTTGGAGACCATTGTAGACTGTTGGAGACGGTTGGAGACCGTTAGAGACAGTTAGAGACAGTTAGAGATAGTTAGGGACAGCTAGGGACAGTTAGAGACAGTTAGAGACCGTTGGAGACCATTGTAGACAGTTAGAGACAGTTAGAGACAGTTAGAGACTGTTAGGGACAGTTGGAGACTGTTAGGGACAGTTGGAGACAGTGAGAGACCGTTAGAGACCGTTAGAGAGTTTTACTACTGAATCAGAAATCAGAGAACTGTTTGCTTCCACGTAGGAAGGAACCGGGACCAAATACAGCATCTGATGCTGACGGAGGACAGTTTGACCACAGAGCAGCCGGAGGACGTCAGAGGGAAAACCAGACAATATTCTCTCCATAAAATCTGATCCAGTTTCACCAGAATCTCTGATAAAGTTGAGTTTGTACAGTAATCAGTGAGCTCCACTAGCTAGCCATGTGTAATGAATCTTCGCTCGGTGTCGCTGAACGTTGAAGATTGATTGACGGGATGTCAGGACATATTGGTTGAAATCAGTTAGTTCAGGAAGACACAATGATTGGATTCTGATATAAAAATAGAAATAAACTGAGTTTTTGTGAATGTTTTTGTGGTCCATTGTGAGATAGTGAAACAATATAACTGATCTTAAAGAACCTAAATGACATTTGTGATTTCACCTGGACTTTAAGGACAATAAGACTCTAAGTACATGTGTTTGACCTCTGTTGGATTTTATTTTCGGACACTAGTACTCATTTACTGCTTTTCAGTTGACGGTCATTAAATGCACCACCCAGACTCTCCCTGTTTGTAAATGCAACTCAGTGACAGTGTTTGTATCTCCGATGAGAGGAAACAGGAGACACAATCTTCTCTGTGAGCTTTAAAGTCTCTGATGTTCAGTCTGTGCTGAAGTTAATATCGAAACCAGCGTCTTCCTCCAGAGAATCAATCTTAAAACGTACAACCTCTAGGAAGGCGTTCAGTGTGGCAATAGACTGTAAACATATCTCTGAAGAATTGTTTCCTGGAGGAGACGTCTTTTCCAACCCGAATTGTACCCGAATGTTATTTTTGGTTTGTGGTTGTTTTAATAAAATAACAAAATGGTGAAACAGGAAGTTGAACCCTGACTGTGCAGAAAACCACCAAGAGAAATCCCCCTTCATTCTTTATCAGATCAGACCTTCAGCACCAGCAGTGTGTGAAATCTAATGAATAAGAACATCTTTAAATAATGAAAAAACACTTTCTACATGATAAACCTGATTCAGGTATAAAACTTACCTTCGCCAACCAAATGTGACAGAACGAGTCCAAAGTACAAAGTCTGTTCCAGAGGTGTTCTCCACATTTGGTGACTGATTAACGCCACAGCTTCAAATACTCACATATATTATTATTATGAACAATATAAAGAAAGTGCAGCACAGCGTTCAGCAGAGACTGCTGCCTGCTATCACTTCTGTTTTCACACTTATATCAGTTTACAAGCAGGAATCTGTGGTTACCATCACAAGACTCCTGTTATATGATCCCATCTGAGACGTGTGCAGTATTTGAGGAGTCATCAGGGTGTTTTACAGAATGACTTTACAGAAACAATCCCTTAAATACACCAACCAAGATGGCTGAATTGTTTCTAGTTATCTAATGAGAGGCAGGCACAGGAAAGGTCGGCCTCTAGCCAGAACTTTCAGAATAAAAGAACAAAATGCAACCATAGAAAGATGGATACGATTAACTTGTATGTTTCAGTGTGTTTGATATTGATTGATATTGGTTCATTATTTAGTGAGAACGCTGAGAGAAACTGCAACCAGCGTAAAGTACGTCCACTAAAAGTTGTTGTTTTTTACCCTGACAGACTCAGATTGTAGTTTAAACTGATTACATCGAACATTTTAAGTCACAAAAACTCAAATTTGTAAGTTTAAAAGAGACTCTTTTACTAGAAATTTTAAGTGACATTAAATTAGTTTATTTTGCTTTAGCATAAAACTAAAAAAATCACATAAACTGCGTGTTCACATTAATTGCATCGTGTTATACACACTGTAAAATCAGATAAGTTAATTTAACTCAAAACATTGATGAACAAGTAGCTTTTGGAATTTTAAGTAACACTAACTTAATTTTGTAGTTACAGAAAGAAATCCTGTTTAATTACTTTTTACTTTGTTTATTTTGTTTTTACAGTACAAACTAAAACTAAGTAAATGTCATTTAAAATTACAAAAGCTTCAAATCAAGAATATTTCCCAACTTACACAACTGAGTTTCTGCTACTTAAATTGTTTTGATGTAATCCAACACTAAAATCAGATCAAAGTTAATTTAACTCAAAAAGTTTTAAGTAAAACTAATTAATTTTCTAAGTTAAAAAAAACATTCTTGATCAAGTAGTTTAGTCATTTTAAGTGACACTGACTTTCTATTTGTATTATGAAAATAAAAAACCCAGTAAAAAGTTCTTAAACAGGATTTCCTGTAACTTAAAAAACTAAGTTAGTGTGACTTAAATTTACTAGTAAAAGCTGCTGAATAAAGAACCATTTTCAATTTACACAACTTTACTACATTACAGTGCAGAGGTGTCCGTCCACTTTATACAAACAGAAACATTTCTCAGTACAGACTGTACTAGCTTTAGGCAGATGTAGCTAATAAACATACACTGTGGATATATTTCACCAAATTAGTTAGAATTTTTCAAATTATTGCTTTTTTTAAGCTTCTTTCATCACTTCAGGCCCCCAAAAATAATCCAAATACAACATTGGAATTTAAAATTACTCTTTGTTGGTGTAGATTTTGCTTCATTTTAAGAAAACAGGTTGAAAACCACAACTTTTATTTTGCATGTGATTTATTTTATAAACTCACCTGTAGCAAGAGGATAAAAAACGTAAATTAAACGTCACACCACTAAAATCACGTAAATCAGTTTAATATCAATCAATCAATAATATCAATCAGTGCCATTTATACAAAGAGTTTTCAAAACACAGAAATGTTTTATTTTAGCTAAATTTCAGTTTTTATAACTATTGACAAAAGAACAAAAGAACATTATCACACTGCACAAAGAGGGAAACACACGCTGATCACCAGCATATTTACACACACACACACACACACACACACACACACACATTCAAGATGCATTTAATTACAGGTGCTCCAACTGAATACTCTTCACACTGGATGTATGTACAGACTCTTGTAAACAAACGTGTTTTTTTTTAAATAACGTTGTGAAGAGAGATTTATGATTCGTGGCGTTCACAATAAAAACAGAGTCAGCGGTTCAGTTCTCGTCCTACGAGTCTCATTCAGGTAACTTTACTAGAGTTCATTATCATAATGTGTTAATGTGAAGGAATTTAGAGTTTAAATATGTTAATAAAACGTTGAGTTGCCGAGGTTTGACAGGTTTTGTTTTGTTGTAACAGCGGTGGAAAGTTTATTTACTCAAGTGCTTAAGTAGCATTTTAAAGTACTTTACTTGAGTATTTCTGTTTTATTCTACTTTATACGTCTATATTAGGGAAATATTTTTACTACATTTGTCTGACAGCTTTAGATACTACTTACTTTGCACATTCAGATTCAAATTTAGCTACATTTTTTACCAGCTGCCACATTAAAGTGATGATTATTGAACACATTAATAGATTATAAATAAATACATTATTCCATAATGACTTTAAGTGCAGAGCTGGAAATGTTTCAGTCCTCAGACCAGCTCACTGAGGTTTAAAACATAGATCTTACTTTTCTTATTTCATCCAATTCATCATCATCATCAACTTCTGCTGTTTATTCTGTACCTTCACTTTAAGTTTTCATCATAAATCAGTTATATTTCATTATTATTATTAATATTATTCGGGGCAGTAAGCACCAGACCGAGCACTCGTTAGGTGAAGGATAAAGTAGCCGGTGTGTCAGTGAAGGCACCACGAAGGGATGTGGGTTTCTTTTACAGGAGCAAAACGAGAGGCGACATCGATTGTGTGTTTGCTCCTGAACTGATCGATGTACTTCTGACCTGGTGCATCAGCCGCCTCTCATTGTAAGTTATAATATTCTGATTTATTTAAATGAGATTTTTTAGCCAATAAACAGGCGTTTTCATCTTCTACCAAGTACCTGCTCACTGTAATGTGTTCAATGTGGTCGGGGTCAAACGTTAAATATAATTATGTCCCAATTCTGACCTCTTGGGCTTCTGTTTCTAAAATGATTATAAAATGAATATAAAACATTCAACCCAGAGCCTGTCTGATGTTAATACTGTACAACAACACTTCTTCCACCGCTGAGCTCCAGCAGCTTCCTCTGGGTCTGTTCCAATTCTGAATGCAGGACTTTTACTTGTTTTCACTCTTTATTTGTGTCACAGAACGACTCTTCTCGAACGACACACTGTCGGCAGATGCACTAATATTATATACATTACTTCATGTTTTATGTTATAATCATAAAAATAAAAACTTGTTGCATGAGGCCCAACGTGCTCTGACTTCCGCTGCCGACCGACTACATGAAGCTGCAGCTGTGAAAGAACCAGACATTTCTCATATGATCCTGACTGCGAAGATAATGTGTGCTGATTGTCCCTGAACTGCTCACTCTCCAGGATCCTGAGGTTTTAATCCGGCTGTGAGTCGTGTGGTGTGTGTTTCCGGCTTCCTGGTCCTGAAGTGACTAAATCAGTTTGCACTCAGTGTTAAAAACCCTCCCGTGTGCGTCTATTGTGCCCAAAGCAAAGTACCTCGAACGCCTGCTGCTGCTGTGAAGTACAAAATGATGTCACGAAAAACCAATGAGACACGTAAACGATCACTGTACAAATACATTTCATATTTTACAGTTTTGTTTTGCTCCTGCTTGTGCCTTCCCGCCGGCTGGTGATGATGCGCGTGGACGCCGTGTTTACTGGATCCCTCTGAATAAACACATCGCGAACACCATGGCGAAGAGCTGCAGACACACAGAGAGAAGAAGGTAGAAAACTTAAATATATATATTATAAATGATGTTACAGGTTAAAGGTTGATTTTAAAGCACCATAATGTAACTTTTTTGTCTTAAAATAAGAGCTTCTGTATTATGTTTTTCTTTTTTCTATTTTTAATAATCATAAACATTTAACAGACTGCTTTTTTAACCAATTCAGTGTTTTCTTCTCCCTAATATTTGAATTGTTTTAATACGTTCATATGTGTTCAGATAATCAAAGTTTAGATATTAAATGATAATAAACTGTAATGTGATAAGTTATTTTAACGTAATAAAGAAGATTTTAAGTTACACAAACTCAATTTTGTAAGTTATAAAACATTTTCGATTAAGTACATTTCAGAATACAAAAATTCAAAATGAAGTCAGAAAATTTCTGAAGCTACTCGATCAAGAATTACATTTTTGCTTACAAAATTTAGTTAGTTTTACTTAAGTTTCAACATTATTTTGAGTTAAATAAAGTTTTTACAGTGTAATCTAGACTTTAAAATTAACAGTTTCATTTAATTTTCTTTCTTTCTTTAATGAAATGTTAAGATTTACGCCTGCTGTGTAAATTTTTTAAGTTTAACCTCAAAATCAAGAAGGCGTCGCGACTCTCATACGAAGCTCTGGCGACCCCTAGTGGAGGTTGCGACCCCTCAGGTTGGGAAACACTGAGGTAAATGTCTGTAAAAGTAATCCCTCAGAACTCAAACTGCTCTGAATGAAACTTTTCCAACATCTTTTTCCTGACGCTGTGGATTATTATCCAACTGTACCTTTACTCATCTTAAGAACTAACCTGTTAGGTGACACACAGTCTTCTAACCTCGGCACAGAAACAGAAACATCGCTGTCCTGAATCCTTCGTACGAAAGAAGCAATAAATGATTCATTATATTAATCAAACACAGTTCGTACCTCGATAGTCAGCACCACGATGGCCAGAGCTCCGGCTGTGTAAATGTACGTCTCAAAGTAATCCACCATCGCAGAGTAACAGCCCTGCATGAAGAAAACACAGATTATTTATCCTCAAGTCCTTAATTAATAAATTAATTAATAGTTCGTATTCATCAAAGCAGGAAACTGTTTTTAAATTAACTCATTTACAAAAAGTTCTGTTGAATTATGAAACCACATGTAGCGAGATGGCCTTCATGTCAGAGAGGCAGTTAATAATAAATAATGATATTTATTAGATAAAATTAATAAACATTAGAAGGTACATAACTCAAAAAACACATTTTGTCCCAAAGTCTCAAATCAAAGGAGGACGATGAATTTACTGTTTTAGCTCCAACACTCGGGTAGAATAAGATCTCTGCAGTTATTACTGGTTTTTATTACCTTAATCTTGTGTTTTGTTACACTGATTGTAATGTTTATTGTTATATCTGCTTTTGGTTTAAATTATATTCTTACGTGCTGTTTACTGTTTACTGTTATGATTCTGTGGCAGTGGTTCCCAACTGCCACTAGGGGTCGCTAAAGCTTCACAGGGGGAGGACTTGATTTTAATGGGTGTAAGAAAACTAAAGATATATACACAGTAGGCCGATATCTCAGCATTTTTTGTAGAGAAAACAAAATAATTTTTTTTAGAAGTTTAAAGTTTTTTATTCATTAATATATAAACGTTACAGACCTTGAACACAGTCTACATTCAGTCTGATAAACAGCCTCTTCCTGCTTTAGAAAAGTTCAAAAAACCTCAGAGCTAATTGAACAATGAGAAGTAAACACTGAATTTGTCAAAAAAGAAACAAGGTTGTGAACAACTGGTCTATGGGTACCATTATGTATTGATCATTATTATTATTATTGTTATTATTATTATTATTATTGTTATTATTATTATTATTATTGTTATTATTATTATTATAACACATGAATGCCTCAGAAATAATAATAAAATATATTTCAGGAGTGTTTTTAAATTCCCCCGCTGAGCTTTCAGGAGTTTTGAGGTGTGACATTAACACGTGTTCGAGTCTAACGACCTTGTTGTGCCTGAAGGCCACGCTGCCGCTCACGCACTGCTCCACGCTGACGTCTCCTAGGTAACCGTTCCTCTGGCAACAGGCCTCAGGGACCATCTTACTGGGGCTGAGGAGCCTGAAGAGGCTCTCCTCGAAGTCCTCGGGGCCGCTCACGCCGCAGCAGTCGAACTGTACGGAGAAATGAGAAGAGGAAACAGCACATTGTTGTCACACTGCGTTTATTATAAGGTTGGAAACAGGAGGAGGAGGAGAGGAGGAGGATTCACCGTGGTCATGATGGCGTTCCATGTGGATGTGAAGACGTCGGTGTTGTTGTGACCTTGGTAGTGGCGCTTCAGCTCCCTGCTGAAATACTCTCTGGTTAACTGAACACAGACACAAACACAGTTCAGTCCTCAGTGTGACGAAGAATCCAAAAAATAACAGCTTCATTACAGAAGTGAGTGAAGATAAATGTGGAGTATGAAGTAATAACATATAATAAATATAAGTACATTTGTGCAGTATTTTAAATATTTTAATTCCAGTTTGTTCCATTAACTCAGTTTCTTTAAGTTGTCTTTATATGATTATAAAAACATAAGCACCAGTGTGTTATGATGCCATGGATATTAAAATATTTAGCAGTTTATAAATCATTATATAAACAATTACACACTCAAGATTTGATGTTCGTCACATAGAAAACAAAAAAACTGTTGCTGACAACTTAATCACAGCATTAACAATTAGATAATTATTTTTATCATATCAGTCAGATGTTGACAGGAAATGGAATAATGGATCTATTAGTGGAGTAAATTCAACTTAAGTGATACCATTTGTATAAAGAAGTATTTAAGTGACTTTATTCAGATAAATTCTGTTCACATATTTTAAATAAGTTTGGAGAAATGCTGCATTATATACTTACTAATATACCAAAGTTATCAGACACTTGAGTTACAGCTACTCAGGTCAAATATTTTATATGTTTAAATTGTTTCAGTTAATAAACTTTAACGATTAGCGAACTTATTACATTAAACGTACAGTTTGTCTCTGTAGTTCCTGACCTGCAGGATATTAACTGCCCCAAATAAAATAATAAAACACTCATCAAACATTAATGTGCCTCCCTCACAACCGTTGAGTCAAACACTGGAGGAGCGACAAACAGCCATTCACTGTGAATTCAACCGTATGAAGTTATACAGACACTGAAACTGCACTGAGAGCTGTACAGTAATGTTTATATCACAGGTCAGTTTGTGCTCCTCACACACTCCCTGAGCAGTGTGTGTGTGAGGCGGACTCACAGTGACATTATTTATTTTACTGTCTGTAGTTTAAAGTCTGACGAGGGGAACCGGTCCAGAAACTGTACTCACGTGCTCCCTGAAGAGGAAGGCCAGGATGGCGGCCGCCAGCTCCGCCAGGAAGATGAAGAGGATGAGCATGAAGAACTGAGGAAGGACAACAGAAGTCACAGCGTTACAGAGAACTTATGGAAGTCAGACTTTGTTGCTCTAAACACAATAAACAATAAAGAAAATGACAGAAACATACAGGAGTTAATATAATATATATATATAATATAATAATAATAACCTGTCCATTGAAATAAAGGATGAATGTAGTTTTATACTGACTGTTACATTCACCTCCTCTAGGTGGCAGACTTGTATTGTTTTACTCTGGTTTTACATAACAAACAGGATGTAATGGAGGATGGACTCATAACTCATAAATATAAAGTGTTTATTAAATGAAGCTGATGTAAGACGAACAATAACAGACTGATTTAGATTCTTGAGGATGTTTTTGTATTAAAGGGTTAAAGAGATAATTAACATATGATAAATAAACATATATAAAAACCCACACCAACTTTCCCTTTACATCCAACAACACAAATCTAGAACGTTAAAATATCTCACTCCCCCCCTCCACAACACAAACACCTCCACTCAATCCAATCCAAACCCAAAAAAACAAAACCCACAAAAAATTTAAAAATTAAACCTCACCACAAATTCACCACAAATAATTAAAAAAACCCTATATTATTATTCTTTATGGATTAAATACACAGTGGTCGGCACTAGTGGAGGCAGATGTGTTTGGATGTTCATATGTTTGTATTTCTATTAAAGGATATTTATTGTGTTATTTGTGGAAGGTTTATGTTTGTAGTTCATGTGCAATACGATATAATTTATTTGAACTAAAACCCCAAAACTGGAACATTTTAAGTATCTAACTCAGTTTAAAAACATTCCTGATTAAGTGTTTTTTTGTTTGCACAGGACAAATAAAGATTAGAAAATTAAGCGAATCAATTAATCAGACTTTATTTGTATTTTTGGCACTTTTTATACAAGAAAAATAAACAATAAAAATAAACTAAATTCAAACACCAGTTGAGGAAAAATACTGAAGGCAGAATTAAAAAAAGATTCAAATGAAGAATAAGAAATATTTACTAAATAAAGCTCCGTCAGCTAATTAAACTATAAATAAATAATTAAACAGAGTAATGCAAAATAATAATAATAATAATAATAATAATAATAATAAAATAGACAAATAAAAAAGTAAATAAAAATCAATTAAAAGTCAGAATAAAAAGTCTTGAGTTTAATTTTAAAGTGTCAAAAATCTGCTTAATCAACAATGTTTGTAAATAATTCAGTTTCAAGTTGTCAGGTTTTACAGTTCATTAGGTTTGAGTCATTAACATCATACAAACATTAAACATTAAACCATTAATTCAGTATTTTCTACCAGATTCCAGTATCTCTGCTCTCATTGTGATTCAGTGTCGACTCCTCGAGCTGAAACTGATCTAATTAATTCATTAGAAGACGATTGCGTCACTACAGAGGTTCTCTGCTCTCGCTGTCTGACAGTCGATCAATAACAACATGAAACGGATCAACATCAGAAGAACATTTCTCCTTTAACAAGCTGATGATTCATTTCATCCATCACTTCACACAGCTCGAGATATTATATTTCATATTATTGGATTATAATTATTGACCCATTAATGAGTTCATTGACTTAATGTTACAGCTGGTTATAGTGGAGGTCAATATGTAACATGTCCTCATTAAACAGTGTATAAACTCTATGTTCTCTATGTAGTTCTGTTCTTCCATTATCCCAAATGTTTCCAACAATGTTCAAACTCAGAGAAATCTGTCATTTTATTCAGGTAACGCTGCGTTTCACCGGTCGCCTGTCGATGGCGTCATATCCCCTTTGTGCCTGCGTCAGCGTTGTGGTTGTCTGTCAGAAGCTGTCATACATTGACTGTTGATCCAGTCTGAAGCCACATTGTTACCATCCACTGTTTAGATCTTGGTGCTTTTTAACTCTAGATTTGAACCGGATGAAGGATTTTAGTCATCAGACGTCTGGATCTTAAGTTATCAGAGAAACAAGCTGAGCTAACGTTAGCAGCAGCTCGGCTCGCAGCCCCTCCGGGACGTCCTTTGTCTGTCCAACAGCGTGGGAGAAGCAGTGATTGTTAAGGTGGAACTGCTTTATTCAGTGTGTTTAAGGTGGAACTGCTTTATTCAGTGTGTTTAGTGGTTTTAATCAGCGGGTCTGTTTGTGTTGGAGAGGAGGAGACCTCTGTGGATCATTGGGCTCCCGGTAGAAACCTCCTGAACCATGAACACTGAAGGAATCCTAACCGGGAGAAGCTGACTGCAATGACGCCAATGGTGGTGAAGACAACAACTCCCATGATCCCACGCTGCTCCACCACCTCATCTAACTTCTTTTCTTATTGCTTTGAGGTGAGAGGCCTCCTATAGCAGCAGAAATGACATACTGTATGTTTAACAATGAAACCAGACTCACGAAGAGCAGCAGACATTTGTTCTCTCTGATGGCTCCGCAGCAGCCCAGGAAGCCCAGCAGGAACAGCATGGCGCCCATGGCCAGGATGACGTAGACCCCGGTGAACAGCAGAGGGTTGGCCGCCACGATCTCCCTGAAGCCCATCGGGTCCAGCAGCACCCAGACGCCGACACCCAGCAGGAAGGAGCCGCCCAGCTGGGACAGAAAGGGTTAAATATTCACTCAATATGATGCTGAAACTGATCAGCCTCTCTCAATAATGAGTGCTAATGATGTAATTACTTATTTTCTTTAAATATGCCCTGTTTTATGTTTGTTTTTTGTCATTTTTTCTACTTTAATTTTTAGTTTTCTTCACTGTATTAAGGAAAATCCCTATAAAAATATTGTTGATGAAAATGTGGGATGAACAGCTTTATAATGAAGCACTGTAGTGCTGCAGAGACACCAGACAGATTAAATCTTGTTCTCCAGATGTTAGAAAATTTGTTTTAAAGTATTATTTAAGTCTATTAAAGTATATATAAGTAAATATATTCCAATTTGTTCCATGTTTTTAAACTTCTTCCCCGTTTTCCTGGTATATTTCTCAGGAAACGGGAAGTTTGGATTAAACTTTAACGTTCATGATGAATTGTATAAATGGAGATATTATATAATTATATATTATATTATATTATATTATATTATATAAAGTACTCTGTGGTCGGACATGTTGAAGCCTGTTTTATATTGAGAAACAAACTAAAGAGAACTCACAAAGATGAAGAAGTTGAAGATGAACATGAGGTACTTCATACAGCTGAGGCAGTCCCCCTCCATGGCTGAGCCTCTAGCTGACACCTCCCCCTGCCCCTGTGGACACACACACACACACACATTGTAAAGAGAATGGTTATTATGTTATTAATTATAAACAATGACAAAAACTGCACAGTGAGATCAATAAATATTTCTTTAATACTAATAATAATAAAAAACTATAGGCCTACAGGAAGTTGCCCCAGTGTTAGTATGTTACAAATTAAAAGCATAGAACTACAGTGAATGCCGTAGTGGATAGTCAGCAACAGAATCTGGATCCATATCTGATCAGCACTGTTTGACAGTTTGATCTGAGTTTGGTGCGTTGAGCTGGACGGACTCACTGAGAATGAGCTGTCAATCACAAGGTAGCCCCGCCCTAAAGCATACCCTGCTTTATGGTCTGTTTTACTCTAAATGGGACCATCAGTTACTAAATGAACATCATGCTGTATGGAAGAAGACTGAAACTAGAGACTGAGACCAGAAACTCATCAGGAAACTGTTTACTGAGCTCATAAATCAACTGAGAAATCGACTCATTTCTCCATAAGACTGAATGGTATCTGTGTGTTATTGCAACCAGTGGAGCCGCCCCCTGCTGGTTGTTACAGAGACTGCAGGTTTAAGACACTTCACAGACCCGGAGCCGCCATTGTTTCCTGCTACAGACGACTCGAAACTGAGCAGCCAATGAGAGCAGCTCAACTCTCAGTGCGTCACCTCCGCTGGCTCCGACAAAACCGTCACGGCGACGACCGTAACGCCAAACTGGAGGCTTCAAACACGGGACTCCACAAACCGACGGGTGACGCCACGATAGGTTGGCTGCAGCTCCCCTAATATTCAAATCCAAAACGTCGAGTTACTCCAGTCATTTCAACATGAACAAGAACCAACATGAGAAAGTCAGAGTGTCATCTGCAGCTGATATCAACACACACACACACACACACACACACACACACACACACACACACACACACAGGACAGAGAAAAGCAGGATGACACATCGGCAGTAACAGTTTTTGTCAGTTCTGGGCGACGTGACACTGACAGCCTGTCCCTGTAGGATCATTTGACACATGGAGGGACGTTGGCTGCTGCTGGAGAGGACATGTTGATGTAAGTGGGGCCATCAGTGGGGGTGTGAAGAGGACCAACTGTGCACTTATGGTCCCTGATGGTGTTTACCAGTTAAAACGAACATACAGCCACCTGTCACATGTGAGGAGGGGACGGCGAGCGGCTTTAGTCTGATAGCGAGAAGGGTTTCGCTTGCTATGTCCAATTTAAGCTTTTTTTAAAAAATAATATCAAACATTGTGTCCAGTTTGGTTTGAGGACGTTTCAGTTCTTCATCATTAATCGCTGCTCCTGTATCCATTATTATATATAATATTCTTCTATTTATTAAGGGAACAAGACACACAGCCCGTGATCCTAATACAACCTACAGAAATAAATCACGTCTGTCAGTGCTTTCTGACTTCCTGTCTGAAGTTCTCAGCTTCAAAACTCACAAATATTTACTCAAACAAGAAGAACTTGTGATTTTTTTTGTGGGACTACTTCCAGCAGCGGATTAATACACATTTGGTGCTCTAACCTTGCGGGGCAACTGGACCTGTGAGATCGTGTGAGAATCCATCTCGCCGGGCTTAAAGCTTCATCTGCCTGTTTCCCTTTTCTCGATGGAAAAGATGTTTCCTCTTTTCTCCCGACTGACTTCAGTAAGAGTTCGACTCCATTATACGGTTCATTGATCTGATTGGTTGAAGTTGGCCAGTGATAGGCGGTTATACACAGATGATTCATCCAACCTGCTGCCACCAACTAATGATTTTTAACTTGTCGTTACATGTTTATGACATTAATTTAGTTATTTAAATCTCTATATGTGATCAGCTGCCTGCTAAACGCTAACAGAAACAGCGGTAATATTGTGAATCAGAACAAGCAGCAAAGAGACTGAACATTTACTTCATTTACTCCAACACAGTGTAACATGACACAGTCTGGTTGTTCAACGCACACAATAAATAACTTCCAACTTCACTGAAACAACGATACGATGGATAACGTTAACAGTTACTGACTAATTAACTGGCTACAAACTGGCTCCTCTTCCTCCGAGTCAGAGTCCTGGTCGGAGCCGCTGGAAATCAGGTTTATTTCAGTCAAAATCAGTTTTTTGGGGGGTTTTGCGACCACTGAAAAGTGGTTTGACAGCAACTATCAACTACTAAGCTTCCAATGACGACTTCCCAGATGGTTCTGTGTAACAAAACATCTGTCACAGTCAGGTTAAGTATTCGGGGCAGCATGACAGGACGTTATTATTGACCACTGGCACAAGCAGCATTGAGTGTACAAAGAGCCCTCTCAAACTACACTCTGCACTCTTATTAAAGCACCTTGTGGCTGTATGTATGATTTCAACTCAGGTATTTTCATAAAGACGGCAGCCTTCTTGTAAAGTGCTCTCATATATAATTAATAAATTAATAAAGTCCTGATTATGGGAGAATAATGTCTTTCTTTTAAATGCCTATATGGATGGAATAAAATTACAGATCCATTTGATGGAGATTTAAAGGTCGGGTTGAATCAAACTATATATTTCATTATAGGCTTCAGTTTGTTTTCTAAAGAAATATACACATAAAGAAGGATTATTGTCTCTTAAAGCACTTTTTCCTCAGTATGTTTTCTTCACTTGCAGCGCACCGAACAAATACAACAAACACTAAAACTATTGCTACAGATCACAAACTAATAACTATGAAAAATGATATACTTCGTCTCTGCTGTTTCTCTGTTGAAAACAGACTGAAAGGTTTCTTTTATTTTATGTTTACTTACAGATTTCCAGAGAACAACTTTCATTCAATATTTCTAATCTTAAATTGTTTGTGTTTTTAGGACTCACAGCTATCAATGAGTTTCTCTCTTTGTGATCATAAACAGCTTGAAAAGAAAGAAAAGAGAAGAATAGTACCATTAAAGCTGGTTTCAGTATCACATTACGTCAATCACGATACTTTTCTTGCATTTTTTAACCAAACATCACCAAAAAAAGTGTCCCGGAGTTCAATATTCAGTCTCTGTGCCACTTTTCTTTCTCCCTAAAACACCATCTGTCCCTTGTGACTCCCAACTGTATCACATCAGATGTGTCTGAATGGGCCGAGCACTGCAGCAGGGAAATAAACGCAGGTTTTCTGTGGTGGCAGGTTAATGCGTTTCAGTCCGATCCACCAATTCTGATTCTTAAACTTAATGCTAATGCTGATGTTTATGTGGCACACTGGCTAACAAGAAAATAAAAAAAGCTCTTCAAAATGGTTGCAGACGCCTGATTTAAACCGACAGAGCGTCCCTGTCGGTGGAAAGGTCAAAAAAGGAAAAGAAATGTAGAAAAAGTAAAGTTTGGAGTTCCTTCCTGGTTGTTTTCAGGTCTCAGAGATTAAAAGCGAGGACTGAAAGCTAACAGCTGTCCTCTGCTGCTCCCATTTAACAGAGTCACCACAGCAGTTAACACCAGTAATTCCTCTTATTTACCATCTCGCTCTTTGTCTGACTTTGCCGAGCTCTCGGCTGTGTAAATGTGTATTTACGGCTAATTTGAGCGCTCTGTGTGGGGCTTTTAGTCTAATGAAGTAAAATGGTGGGTGCTCTGCTCTCACCGCAATTAAACACGGGTTTTGTGACTGCCAGTGCACTCTGGGTAATTGCTGCCTCTTTTGGGTGAGGTCAGGGTTAATAAAATAAGGGCACGTTATGGTGTGTTGGGAATCTGTCGACGCACGCACTCAGCATTATTAGCACATCTCTGTCAATCACTCGTGTCAGCGCAGTTACACGGGATTACAATTACGCAGAAAGATCTGTGATTATGAAATGAACAAAAGGAAGAGAAACAAACAAGAATCCACGAAGAGCTGTCAGAAAACAAAACATTAAAAACACAACACGCATTGTTAGCGATGTCAGAGAAATCCTGATTACACAGTCACATTTACTGCAATCACAAAACCGCTGCCATAATTACAAAGAACGGCACAAACAGACGTCTTGATTAAGCCAACAGGGGTCATAAATGAAAGTAATCACGATTTAATCAGTTATAATTAAATTACCAAGATTAAAATTAAATTTCAAATCCATAAAACAGCTGTTACAGAAGTTAAGATGTTAACATTCACACCAGCTGCACGGGAAACTTTGGCTTTCTTGCATTTCAAACACCGACCTTTCTGGAGTCTGACAGGCTTTGTAAGTGAAAACATGTATGAAGCGTAAGGGTGTAATTTTCTTTTCAGCTTAGCAGGAGACATCTCCTGGTAACTGCTGAAGTTCTTATTACAGTTTTCACCACTGAGAGAGTTCTTAAAAAGGTTTTTTTTAAAAAGGAAAATGGACAGTTTTCCACTGATGATTGATTGATGTAAATGTGGTTATGAGCGCACAGTCTTTTTTCCTTCAGTGAATCAAATGAAATGTTCATATTTAAAGAGCAACTCAGAGCTGAAACCTAAGAGTATGGGCTTTAACTTGGAATGTGTGCGATTAGTCGACTAGTTGGTTAAGTTCATGTTGTCGACGCCAGAAATAATAGTCGGTGGAACTAATTATCATATTAATGGATAACGCTGGTAAACTGCGTCTTTCCACAGCCGCCCGCCACTACCCAGGGATACATCTCCAACAGGCGGCAGTTCCTAAACTAATGCCACCGCTGGCTTTAGGAGCCATCTTTGTCGTAGTCGTAGCTTTTCCTTGAGTTACAATGACATTAAAAGCTGCAGAAAGTAACTTTTAAGAATATATTTGCTAAAACTTTCACTACATCCTGACAGTAGGACATGAGAGGGATAATCAGGTTCCTCTGGCTCCTCATAGTGCTCCTGATGGTTATTACAAGAATCCACCGGGCCTGAATGAATGAAACTATCATTCTTAGCTCTGATTGGTTGCACACAAACACAATGATGGATTCTCCAGCTCCTTAAACATCTCACAAATATACAGCATCATTTTAAAGTACC